TAGTTTTGACTTTGGTTTGGTTTATCTGTAATATGAGGAATGTTGATGGCACAATGATTAAGTGCTTGGCTGCTGACTAAAAGGTTGCTGTTTTGATTCTACCTAGCAACTCTCCCGGAGAAAGCACTAGCTGTCTGCTCCCATAAACATTACTCACTGAAAAACAGTAGAAAGAATCAACAGTACAAGAAGTTGGTTCTTTGAAAGGATTAGTAAAATAGATAAAGGCAAATCAAATGAAAGAAAAGAAGATGCAAATAACATGCATAAGAAATTGTATGGGTGACATCATAACAGAATCAACAGAAATAAAAAGGATAAAACAGAATACTATGAAGAACTGTACTCCAACTAATTTGAAAATCTAGAAGAAATCCATACATTTTAAGAAAAATATGACCTACCTAAACTAACACAGAATGAAGTAGAAAATTTGAACAGACCTGGTATGGTGCTGTCGAATAAGCACTGGAACCCAAGTGAAAAGGATGGAAAACTCCTGAATACATTTTATGAAGTTAGCTTGACCCTCATACCCAAACCAGGCAAGGATATCACTAAAAAAAGAAAATTAAAAAATAAAAATAACCAAAGCTTTTGAGTTGCTTCTAGTTTCTAGTGATTGTATAGTACAGAGTAGAACTGCCCCATAAAGTTTCCAAAGCTGTAATCTATATGGAGTCATGGTGTGGCACTGTGGGTTAATACACTGGACTACAAGGTCAGTTTCAACTGCAAAGTCAGTGGTTCAAGTTCACCAGTTGCTTCTTGGAAACTCTGTTCAGGGTTGCTATGAGTTGGAACTGACTCTGACAGCACTTAACAATAATCTTTACGGGAACAGATGGTCACATATTTCTCCCACGGAGTGACTGGTAGAATCAAACTGATGATTTTTTCATTTTCAGCCAGTGTTTAGCCACTGCACTGCCAGGGCTCCCCTTGTGTAAAAGTTACAGATTAGAAAAGCCTATGGGGTAGTTCTTCTCTTTCACATAGGTTCACTATGAGTCAAAATAAATTTCAGTGCACTGTACAACATTGTCTGTAATATAGTAGGTGTGCATTATGTTGGCCTATCATGTTTTTACCTGTATACACAGTCTTATACCTAATACAAAGCAGTCCTGGAGAAAGATGAGCTCTCTACTCCCTTAAAAAATTATAGTCCTGGAAACCCTATATAGAGTTTCTATGACTTGGAATTTTCTTGGTGGCAAAATCTGAGGAGTCTTTAAAAAGTTTGTGAAAATATTGAAGTATCCCTTTTTTAAAAAATGTTTTTATTGTGAATTGAGTGATAGTTTACATGGGAGAACATTGGTTTTCCACTCATCGTTTCATTGCATTGATTACAATCTCTTCCGTGTATCATCATTCAACTATATTTTCTTCTGTTCTATCTGTTTTTTGGAGGGGGGTATGTACACAAAAATACTCAGGAATCACTTGAACAACCAAAGGGCACATTCTGCAAGCCTGCCTCCTGGCCACCAGCACCTGGCCACCAGCACACAGCCTTTCTCTTTCCATGAGTCTAGAGTCCTCAGCTGCTCCAGTTCTCCAGGCCCTCATCTCTGGCATCCCTGCTTCTCTGGATAGGGTGCCACATTCCACTCGTGCTCTTCTCCCTTGATGGCCCTAGGGTCCTCTTCCTGGACTGTAAGATTCACTACTCCCCTCTTTTGGTTACAAAACTTCTACCTTTACAATTGTGACAGTCACAATTAGTCATGATAGTCGTTACTGTTGAATCATAAGAATCTTATCCCCATCTCTTTTCACTAGGTATGTCTAGATAAGATGAATACTATTCAGTGGGACTTCCACCTTCTCCCGCACACTCTGACTCTAAACTCCATCTTGAAAACTTCTAAGTCAGTCACTTCGTGTCTTTATAGCCCCCCATTTTAGGTAGCCAGTGTCTCAGTTGCCCATCCCTATCAACCCTGTATACAGAGGGGATAGACTTCTCAGTTGGTATTTTGAGCTACTATATCCATAAGTATAGGTCAGGTTCATCAAATTGTAGCAATTTACAATTATAAATTACAAGAATAAAACTTCTTTTATCTTCCCCTGAAAATGTTCAATTATCTTTTAATTCCATTTGTCCATGAACTTTTTGAAGCCCCCTTGTATATGTATGAAAGCTATAGAAAATATTAATTCTGAGTAAAAATGTGTGTCACTTAGGGACAAATCCTAGTTTTATAGAACCATATAAATTTGAAGATAATCTTTTAAAAAAAGGTATAGGACATTACAAGTACAAAATTGCTAGACCCAATCCAATTTCTTGGGAGTTTTATAGTAAATCTTTCTTTGTTATCTATCTGTATGGCAAAAATGCCATCGCCACATCTAACATCACTAATGGGAATATAAAAGAAAAAAAAAATGAGGGTGGAATTGGGTAACAAGATAGAACTACAGAGTTTACTTCATTATTAACAAAATAACTCAGGGAAAGGAGGATATAACATTCTCATAATTGTTCAAGGCAATGGTAAAATATATGGGAGTTACAAACTAGAAATTTGTTTTTTAAAAAGAACCTTATGTTTTTATTCATAGTACTATTATAAAATTATAGTTTGTTGCATACTCTTTACTCTTAGAAATGGTATAAAAGTGGCATATGAATAGATGAACTAATCCTCATACTCTTTTGAAACAGAATGTTTAGGTCATATTCCGGGCTGTTTAAATACGTACATATAAAGTGGATATGATCAGTGATAAAATGTTTGAATGTACAACATATGTATAATATGGACTGGATTGAATTCTTAAGTAATGTGTTAATAATTAACAGAGAATCTGAGAATTACATCCAGAAATGGCATAAGAAAAACAGTATCATACTTTATCTCATATTTCTGTTTCCATTGGAGTTGGGAGGAATGGTGATCACTTTTTTTTGCCTGTTGCCTTACTGGTCTTCAAGTCGTTGTAGTAGCTTCCCACTGACTGCTTCTGAGGAACCTGTTATATTATTACGTTGATAGTCCAGTCGATTGCTGCCACCTCTTCTTTTTTTAAAAGCCATTTTTGTCTTAGTGCTTCTGAGTCTGGAGATTATACTCTGGTAACATAGTGATTATGAGTTGGGCTGCTAACCTCACAGCAGTTCAAAACTACCAGCTGTTCTGCAGGAAAAAGATGAGGCTGTCTCCGTAAAGATTTACCGCCTTGGAAACCCTATGCAGGGTCGCTATGAGTTGGAAGAACCGACTCCATGGCACACCACCACCACCATCCCATTGTATACCATAAATCATACCAGATTTTGAAAATTGAAATAAATATAATCAACGTGATATTAGTTAATAGAAGTGTGTCATCTGTACTAGAGTTGAATGAACCTGCATATAACTTTCCATTAATATTTGTTTAGTTAAAGAAAGAATGAATCCATTATACAGTATTAGGACTTTTCACATAATTATGGAGTCCTGATGTGATAGGACGGCTCTTTGAAAACCCCCTATAGCAGGGTTGGAGAATATCTGGCCCATGGGCTACATAAGGCCCACAAAATGATTTGGTCTGTCCGTGCCAAGGCAACTTCTGTTCCTTTTGTTAAACAACACATTGTTGTTTTTGTTATGTGTCATCGAGTCAGTTTAGACTCATAGTGACCCTGTATAGGGCTTCCAAGGAACAGCTAGTGAGTTTGAACCACCGACCTTGTAGTTCAAACCACCGACCTTGCGATGGAATGTTTATCCTACAGTGCCACACTAGGACAGGGGTGAGTTAATGAAATGTTTGGCCAAATATAGCAGGCTAATTTTAAGTTGATTATCTTGTATGGCCCATATATGATGTTGCAACTTTTGGAAGAAAAAAAGGTTTCCTACCCCTGCTATACAGGGTCACTATGAGTCAGAACCCATTTGACTGCGCTTAACAAGATAACTATGATAAGTTGAGGAAAACACATATTGGATACAAAGCTGTATTTTCTAACATTATTTTACTATATAACACTATTTTGAAAAATTAAATACTTAAAAAAAATAGCACAGACTTTAAATGATATGCTGAATAGATATCTTAAAATATTAAAACATTTATAAATAGTGAAGGCAATGCAAATCTGGGAAAATAAGAACATAATTTGGAAGGTAGAGATTATAGCAATGTATGTGATTAAATAAGAAAAGCCATGACTGTAATGAGAGTAGAATTGGTAACTCTGTATGGTGCTTTAAAGCTTCTCAAAAGACTTCACATATATGTTATACTGGTCTGCCTGACTGTCTCCCATTATCTACAATTTCAAATGCGTTATTTTTATAGCTGTTATTCTTGGACACATAAGTAAATCAACATGTATATTCAAAAGATATTTACTGTATTTCTTACACAAATGTATCCCTTTGCCTAGATATTAATATATATTAAAGTATGGTCTTCAGTTGTAGACACTGCTTTTGAAAGTGTTTTTAGATGTACAGTGAAAATACACATTTGTATTTTATATAAGGTTTGGATAAAATGAAAGGAATCTAAAAATCGACCTTATTGGCCCAAGATTCATGTTAATGTTTACTCATATAACTAGAACAAAATACTGTCTAATTAGTGTGGTTGGTAAATTTTTGGTACTTTCATTTTCTCTGTTATTGTAAACCATGCATAAAATGCTTGCCTATTGAGAAGTGCAGAATTGTCAGAGCTTAAACAGCTGACATCTGCTTACTCTCTTAAAAAAGGGGAAGGGGGAAAAAAAAAGAATAACAAGCCATTTCAGCCTAATCTACCTCAAATGTGTTCATGTAAATGGAGGTCCATCTATTGACCTGTATTCTTTTCAGCTCAGGATTGGTCCACATGGTTTATGAAACCAGGAAGGCTGATTTGAAATGCAGATGTCGAGACAGTGAAGTACACCCTCCCCTTTTTTCTTTGCTGTATCTGTCAGGGTGAAAAATGGCTTGCACAAGGGTCAGTCACCCATACTCACTTAATTACTTTTCTTGGACCCACAGAACTGTCACAAGCTGTGGTGGATGCAGGAGCGGTTCCTCTTTTAGTACTCTGTATCCAGGAGCCAGAAATTGCTTTGAAAAGGATTGCTGCTTCGGCCCTCAGTGATATTTCAAAGCATTCTCCAGAGTTAGCACAGACAGTAGTGGATGCAGGAGCTATTGCTCACTTAGCCCAGATGATCCTGAATCCTGATCCTAAATTGAAGGTATTTAAAAATAAGATTAAAAAACAGTCATTCCAGGTTACATTGTAACCTAAGAAAATAGAATGTGTACAGGTTACTATTAATATATTTTAAAATAGTAAACATTCTTGATCACAGATATGAATAGAGTTTATATTTGATCTTTTAATTTATGAAAGTAATTTTATAAAAATTAGATAATAAAGATGTGATTGGGAAAAACATGCAATGTTGAAAACCAGAAGTGGCATCAGTGTTACCATTTATAATTAAAATAAGGATTTATATAATCATAGAACCTAAGGGCTAGAAGGAACCTAAAGGTTTTTTCAGTACCACCATTACAATATTTTCAGTTTCTTAGGAAAATTGCTGTTAGTGTTTTAAAAATAGCTTCCTGAAATCTGACTTTCAGTTAATAGTCACAATTACACTTTTATTTTCTGATAGTTGTATTCTGTATAGTTTTAAAATTATTAATGTTACCTAAGCAGTTCTTTGAAATGGTATCAGCATCATGTCAAAAATATGTTAGTTCTGCTTGATCAGTTTTTGTACAAAATTACCACGTGTCATAAATTAAACAATGTAAGTATTGTATAATCAAGAAGTATTATTCATCCAAATGTAATAGTCTTTGATAATCTACAATAGACAAAGTTTTAAATAGTCAATTGAGAGCTATGACATTTAATTTTTAGAAGTAGGAAATTAAAGACATTAGTAAGTATAAGACTTGAATATGAATGTCTCAAGATTCAGAAATCTTAGGTTTTATAAAATACATAATTTTGTTTTTTTCCCATTTATAAAGGAATTTGACTGTGTATAAAGCTGTTTAAGTTATATCCAAATTCTTTTGTGGACACTTTGTAATTTTTCTCTTTTTTATTTTTTTTTGGTTAATAGCGTCAAGTTCTTTCCGCTCTCAGTCAGATAGCAAAACATTCTGTGGATCTGGCAGAAATGGTAGTTGAAGCAGAAATTTTCCCGGTTGTACTTACCTGTCTGAAGGACAAAGATGAATATGTGAAGAAAAATGCTTCTACTTTAATTAGAGAGATTGCAAAACATACACCCGAGGTAAAAAACAAAACAAAACAGAACTTCAAAAATAAATCATTTTAGTTTTAAAATAAACATCTGTTTACAGGTTACAAAGATTATGCCACATTATCTAGTTAGATCAGTGTTTCTCATTCTCAGAACTACTGACCTTTTAAACTGGATAGTTCTTTTGTGGGGATTGTTTTGTTGCTTTGTAGGATGTTAGTAGCATGCCTGGCCTCTACTCACGAGCTGCCAGTGGCATCCCTCAGTCATGACAATCAGAAATGTCTCTATACATTGTCAAATGTTCCCTGGAGAGCAAATTACTCCCAGTTGAGAACCACTGGGTTAGGTCAATGGAGTTTGAGTCTGAAATCTCAGTTTTTAATCATTTCCACCTTTCCATCTGCAGAGTATGGGTGCTGGGGATCTTGCCTTTCTTAGCATTTTATGTCAGATGGAGTAGTGAGAACGATATCATGCCCCCAGATTGGACCACAAAGATCCCCTAGCTTAGCGCAACCACCCTAATAGATGCTTTACCATGGTTTCCTGCTCTTAAGTTCCTAGATGTGAAGGAAATGGACAAAGCAGGCCTGCGTTCATTGATTCTGAAGTGTAGTATCTTTTTCTGTGTATATTTTGACTTAAGTTTCATTTAATTAAACCTTAAAAGTCTATATTTCATCTCACATATTCATTGATATTTTTCATTACTAGTAATCATTACTAGCAAAAAGGAAGATAATTAGATGAGACTATTTCACATCTGACATTGTCTTTTGGCATTCAATGATTAATCTGCTTTATATGCATGCCTTATGATTGGAGGTTTCAGTAGTTAGGTAGTTATGAACTAGCCTTAGGCTTAGTGTCTAGGTGAGGAATTTTGACATCCATTATAATTGGGATAAAAGTTGTGCCGTTGCTGCATGAAAATTGAACCACAGAGTAAAGCGCCTTATAGTGAGTATATTTGTACATTTGAAATAGTGAGAGTATTAGGCTTGCATATTTCCTTAGTGAATATAGTAATTTAACTAAACGATCTTTCAGATTTTACCAGGTATTTCTAAGTTCAAAGTAAAATAGTTTGTGAACACTAAATGAAACAGGTAGACAGAGCATGGTAGGTTTCGTGGTTGTGATTATCTAGCCCTGCTCTCGTCTCTTAGCTTTCCCAGCTGATAGTTAATGCAGGAGGAGTTGCTGCTGTGATTGACTGTATTGGATCCTGCAAAGGAAACATAAGGCTGCCTGGCATCATGATGCTTGGTTATGTAGCAGCTCACTCGGAGAACCTGGCGATGGCGGTGATCATTTCCAAGGTTGGTTCTTCTTTTTTGTCTCTTTAGTATTGCAGTGAGGAAATCTAGCTAATAGTCTAATTAATAGTGTGGAGCTGTGGCTTAATGTGCTGGACGGCCACGTCGATTTGAGCCTCAAGGTCGGCGGTTCAGAACCGACTTGATATGGCATTTAACAACAACAACAACAACAGAATATAAAATATAATGTATCAAAGTGAAAACATTATCTGAAAAAAAATTCCAGCTTTTTTTTTTTTTCAATGCTTATTAGCTAAGTTTCCTAAAGCAATACCTGAAGTAAGGTTTTCTTTACAGAAAATTTTAAGTTTTATTCAGTATTTAATATCAGTACAACTATTTTGAGTATTCACATTATCTGTATTTAACCATTAAATGTATTTGTATGTTTAAGGTTTGACTTTGCTTATTTGGAGTGCTAGTGATGCAGTAGGATAAGTGTTGAACTGCTAGCCACAAGATTGGCAGTTCGAATCCACCAGCTGCTCCATGGGAGAAAGATGAGGCTTTCTGCACTCATAAGATTTTCAGCCTCAGAAACCCTATACAGGGCCTCTATGAGTTGAAACTGACTCAACAGCACTTAACAACAACAACAACAGCAATGCCTGTTTATGAACATGTACTGTGTACTTTGGTTATAAACAACTGTTATCAATGTCATGCCTGATAATCATTTTTACCATTCTCACAACTCTAGAAATTCTTCCCTTTCCTGCCATGTGGGTAAGAGGTGACAATGGCTAGGCCATATTTTTAAAATCGACTTTTCTCTCCTGCTTTCAAGAATTAACATACTAGAAGGAGACAATTCAGAACACTAGTCAAATAGCTGCGGTGTTTGTTTCCTTGCTCTCAAGAGTTTTGCCTTTCCTCAGTTCACAACCTTGTATTAACCCACCATGGAATGTAACCCTATCACACAGTAGGAGCTCAAAAAGTATTTGTTGAATGAATAAATATTGATCTCCAGAAGAATGCTTCAAAGGCTGTGTGCTTACAGTGTGTCTGTGGTAACCTCCTAGGGTATGGGTTTCTTATCAACAGAGAAAGCCTGCTGCTGTACACTAAACAGAAATGTGGTTTTTCCTGATCCCTTACTAATCCTCAGAATAAAAAGAGTCTCAGATCTTTATTTTATACCAATTCCATGGCAATTCTTTGCTTCCTTCCCCTTTTGTTCTGCCATTTCCTTATGCTCATCTATTACCACAGACTATCATGGTGACTAGTAGGCGCTTCCTGAGGGGTCACTGCCTCTGTAGTGACATTGAAGGGAGTTTTGATTCTTGGACCTTCTGTGGGTAGTAAGAAAGCTTACATGATGAAAAAAAAAGAAAAGAAATTGCTTTTGCTTCCTACGTCCCTACCTCAAACTAACCATAAGACTCTCTCCTTCTTTGATCTAGGGTTGCTGATGGCCTCTCCCATCTAGTTTCTCAGTTAGTCAAAGATCAAGGAGACAGCAGCAGTTAAGAATCAAACCACACAGTACAGTAGTATTCTCTCATTTGCCTAAATATTGCTGTAACTGAAACCCAAACCCAATTCCATTGAGTCAAATCGGACTCATAACAACCCTATAATACAGAGTAGAACTGCTCCAGGGTTTCCAGAACAATCTTTATGGAAACAGACTATCTCCTTTTTCTTCCTCAGATCTTCTTATGGGTTTGAATAGCCAACCTTTTGGTTAACAGCCCAATGCTGTACAGGGTTTCCAAGGATTTAAATCTTGACGGGAGCAGAAAACCTCATCTTTCTCCCATGGAACAGCTGGCAGGCTCAAATCATGGACCTTGTGATTTGCAGTCCAGTGTCTGTCTTATGGAGCCACTGTACTCCCCACTAGGGCTCCTAGAGACTAATCACATCTTTTATTTAAATAATACTTTATAATTCTCAAAGCACATTCCTGCTCCTTATCTCATTTGCTATTCACAGCAACTGAGACTGGTAAGTCAGTCAGGCCTTAAGGAAAGGGTACTGTCTCTTGTTTCCCCTACTTCTTCAATCTTAATGTCCCTGAGAGTGGACTTTCTGAAAGTTGCTTTATTTTAAGACAGATTTGACCTTTTCTGTTGGCAGACACACATTTTTAGTTGTAAGAAAGAAGCCAGAAAAAAGCATGGCAGGTTTTTCAAGAAATTGAACTTAACCAAATTAAAAAATAGAAGAAAAACTATGTATGATGATTTGATCTTTGTAAGATAGCATGACCATGTGATATTAATTTTTATGATATTACACTTAAGATGATAATTATAGTGTCATATTAGTCAGAAAATTGTACGTATTCAGAAATTAGAATTGTGGCTTGAGTTGATTGATTCTTCCTTAAGAATATAAAATGATTGATTTGAAGTTCTTTAGTTTTCTGTTTTGATTTTTAGATAAAATTAAAGAATAGAATATAAAATGCAAACACAATCTGTCTGTGTAACAAAAATTATACTTTATACTTGAACATTCAAATATGGTATAATGAACAAAACTATCATTTAAAAATTGACCAAAATTAATAGAAAATTTAAATTTACTATTTTAGGAAAGGTAATTATAAATATATTTCATCTAAAAGGTATCCAAACTCATATTAATTTTGTTTCATTGTGTGTCCATAGTAATTTGTTCTCATTTTGGCTTTACTTCATGAAAAAAGACAGTTCCTTTAAGGGTTCTAAATTAACTTTTTTAACAAAATAGAAAGTTTTAAAATCTGAAATATTTTCAGTTTGTCATGGTGTAACCTGATTTTGCCTGTATCTTAGTTTGTGGCATCAGTTGCTTAAGTAAATGCCTCTCTTTTT